CCCCCCGCTCCCGAGCCGTGACTGCGGCGGAAAGAGCGCGGCTGTGCCTTTATCCACCCATGATAGAGAGAGAGAGAGAGAGAGAGAGAGAGAGAGGGATCCTGGCCACCAACGGCCATCGTGCACACCGGCACCGTTCACCCGAGTCCTGTGGTTAGATTAAAAGGCCACGGTCGGCAGTCTTGTGCATCGTTCTGGGGCGGGGGGTGGGGTGGGGGTTGGCTGGAGGGGTTACTATCCGCTGTCTGAAGAGCACTGCTCCTCAGACTCACTGCGCCGTCTGTTTTGCACCGGCGATCTGGCTCCTATGCCATCAGAAAGATGAGGATGAGCGTCGTGAATGAGAAGATGCCCCCCCCAGGCTCCTTGGAGAGCCCCCTTAACCGCAGTGTTGGGTCGGCGGTGGGGGGAGTGGGCATTTCTTGGCCCCTATCACCGACTTTCATTAGGAGAGGAGGGCATAAATGGGGGCTCGGCCCTTTAAGCTGAGATGCTCCCACCCCACCCTGATACAACCCCCCCCCCCCCGGATAAGACCCCCCCACACACACATTACTCATAAGCTGTTTTTCCCAGGGTTGTGAAAAATCGATGTGCTCCACGCTGCAAACAGTTCATAATGACGAGAACGGGGGGGAAGGAGAGATGGGGGAGGGGGGGGCAGACTGCAACAAAATTGATTTGTTTAAGTACAATAACGGGGCTCTGCGGCATCTCGTTCTGCAGCCCCGGTGTCAAGACAAAGCCCGCGTGTCATGGTGAAGCTTCACCGGCAGACGCCAGGCAAATGGGAAATACAAAAAAAAATAATAACGGTACCAATTTGGCTGCAAGATTCCCCCAGAATTCTGTCAATCCCTGTCGATGATGGGGGGGGGGGGGGAGACAGGAATACTGCAGCCGATGGGAAGCGTCGTGCGGGTTTGGCGGGAGGATAATAGTGGAATGAGAAAATCCCCGGCAAACGACGTGCGAGCGTTCAGTGAGTGCAGGCGGCATCGCGGAGCTCGGTGTAATGTCACCGTGAGCCACCGGGCATGCGCAGGCACACACACACACACGCACACACACAAGCACACTGCGGAGGTGAGGAGCTCCGTGCACAACGAGCATTTAGATACACACGTTGAAACAGGTCGCCGATGATATCATGCAACTGGCCGGCCATCAAGAAAAGGCGTGCTCATAAACTGGTGATGTCATGCCATCGTGTTCATAAACCAGTGATGTCATGCCATCGTCCTCGATGGATGTTTTTCCATCGCGAGGCTCTCTCCTTCCTTTATACCCTTGACAACCGCCGCACACAGACGTAAACACGGATACCGGCGTGGTGGTGGCGGCGCTTCACAGAAGCGGCATGCTCTTTTTCTGCTCTCTCCTCTGCTCCCGGCCGATTTCGGAGTGCAGACATACAAATGCACGTACGTATATACACACACACACAAATAAAAAGGGCTTGAAATCACTGATGCAAGACGCAACATCAGAGCTAGATAACGGCGGCCAGCCCCCACCCTCTACAACTCCCCACCCCTGAGGAGAGCACTGCCCCTGAACCCCGAGCCCTTCTGCGGTCTGGCTGGCTGGACCTCCACGCGCCCCCCTCCCTGCTCTGCTCTGCAGGAGGTCTCCTGGCTTAATTGGGTCCTTGTGGAATCAGACACCCCTCCCCCCCCCCCGGCCTAAAGATGGCCAGCATCCTCGCGCCGTGCCCGCCTCCCAGCGTAATAAAGTGGCCCTTGGGCGGTCCTCAGCCTCTTGTGAAGTGGCCCTCACAACCTCCCCCACAGCC